GAGGTGGAGGGTGGAGGGTGGAGGGAGAGGAAGGAGGAGTGGGACAAGGAGGGGAGGTGGAGGGGTGGAGGAAGAAGGACGAGAAAGGTGGAGGGAGAGGGAGGTGGATGGGTGGGGTAGAAGGGGGGGGGGGCAAGAGAAGAAAGAGTTGGGGTACACGATTTAGAAGCCATGTCTAAAAAAAAAAAAAAAAAAAAAAAAAAAAAAAAAAAAAAAAAAAAAAAAAAAAAAAAAAAACGCGTTGTTCTGTTGTCCATTCGTTAATATACATAATTAATCTTTTTTTTTGTTGCTGTTTGTTAGGAAGGGCGTTGATATTCACAAGGAATGCAATTTGAAAGTATAATGAGTATACACGAGTGAAAAAAATATATATCGTTTCATTGCCCTCAAAATATACTCTCGTTTTCCCTCAAAGCAAATAATTCCGTTACTTCATTTCCCTTTTATCACATTCCCCTTTGTAAACCCTCTTTCTTCCTTCTCTATTACTCCCCTTTCACTCCCTCACTCCCATCCTTGTGATTTTCTATCTCTCTTCCTTCTTTACTAATTTTCTCACAAATACAAATGTAAAATCTACCATTTCCGTAAAAAGAAAAAAAAGGAAAAATCAACAATTTGGGAAAAGAAAGAGGAGAGGGAAGGAAGGAAGGAAGGAAAAAGAGAGAAAGAGAGAAGAAATGAAGAAAGAAGGGAGAAAGAAAGGAAAAAGACAAAATGAAAAAGAGAAAGAGAGAAGAAAGGAAGAAGGAAGGGAGAAAGAAAGGGAAAAGACAGAAAGAAGGAAGGAAGGAAGAGAAGAAAGAAAGAAAAAGAGAAGAGAAGAAGGAAGGGAAGGAAGGCAGAGAAAGGATGAAAGGAAGAACGAAAGAAGCTAAACAAGAGACAGAAAGAAGGAAGAGGAGAAGGAAGGAGGGATGCGTATAGAGTACCTACCCTCCCCCCTCCCCCCTCCCCCTTCCCCCACCCCCCCTCCACCCCCCCGTCCCCCCTTCCTTACAAAGCCTCCTTCAAGTTGCTTCTTCTCCTTCTATTGTCGATCCCTGATGAAACCTGGAGGCAGGGGTGAGTTGCGGAAACCATTGTGGCGCCTCGGACATTGTTGCCGGCGTGCAGTGTTGTGTGTGTGTGTGTGTGTCGTGTGTGTGTGTGTGTGTGTGTGTGTGTTGTGTGTGTGTGTGTGTGTGCGTGTGTGAGTGTGTGTGTGTGTGTGTGTGTAGAGATAGAGAGAGGAGAGAGAGCGTGTGTGTGTGTGAGAGAGAGAGAGAGAGAGTGTGTGTGAGAGAGAGAGAGAGAGAGAGAGAGAGAGAACATGTGTGTGTATGTGAGAGAGAGAGAGATGTTGTGTGAGTGAGAAAGAGAGAGAGAGAGACTCGCGCGTGTGTTTGTGTGTGTTCCATACCCTCCTCTTCACTCCATAAGGTAAAATACCCTTCAGGCAACATTCAAATATCAGAATTATATTTCATAATTCAAGAAAACCGTACTCCATCTACCTTTTCCTTCCTTCATTTTCGTATCATAACAAATAATATACCTTTATTTATTTATCTATTTATCTATTTAATCTTTTCTTTTCTTTTTTCTTATCCAAAAACAAGAATTGGAGATGTGGCCGCGTTGTAGGGGATACGAGCGCACAGGACTTTTCTTATAAACAGGAAGCAAGGCGTTTTATCTTTTATTCTAAGACCTTCAAAAAAGTGATCGTTATTCAAACGGATTTTCCCTTCTTTCCTTTACGCTAATTAGGCCTAAAACTATATAAAGGAATAAAAAATATATTGAGGTTAATGAAGGTCGAAGCAGGTTCAGAAAACTTCACCTTAATTCGAATCTTTTTTAAAAATGTTTCATTGAGCTTGTTCTAGAGGACAACGTATGTAATATTTTTTATCATTATATCTAGCATTATATTCACCAATATTCGAAATGAATCCGGTATTAATTAATAAGTTTCTTAGTTCCATTAGATATACTCATTATATATCATTATTCCTGTTATTCACTGGATAGAAGAGTACATTTTTTATCATCATTATACCATTTCGTTTATTACTAAACTATTAAGGTTTTAGATAGAAATACTCTGAACAATATTGATGTAGAAAAAATCGTGCCTTTATTATCAGGATTACTGACGTTGTGAAGAACAAAAAATAGATAATGGCTTGTTTGTAATTGTTATCGTTGTTATGAAGGTCTAAGATAGACATTTGAGGGCCCAGGGTTATATTCCCTTACCCCCCCCTCCAGGTTTTTAAGTTTGATTAAAATATATAAACTATATATACCTTACACAATAGCAAAAATATTGATTACTTATTTGGACTGAAACGAATATTTCTCTTCAGTTGTGTAAAAAAAAAAAAAAAAAAAAAAAAAAAAGCTTTTAACGATATAACAGGATTTTTTTTTTTTTTTTTTTTTTTTTTGAAAAATGAGAGATAGATAAAAATAGACAAAAAAGGCACTCGAACTATTTTGTTGTTTGATAAGATGATAAAGTATGAAGACCCATCTTTTATCCGCCAGTCATTCGCAATATAACTTATTATTTGAATCAATCTTTTTTTGTTTTTTGTTTTTCCTTTGTTTATTCTATTCGTTTATTAATCTTATTAGATTTGATTTTTAGTGAAAAAATATCTCCCTCTTTAGCTATGTCACTGATTATTATTATTATTATTATCATTATTATTCAACCATAATTGACATACAGTTGATGTTGTAGCAATGTTTATAATATTCTTGTTACGTTTCATTATTTTCATAATCATTATCAGTATCATGATTATGAAATTATCATTATCATCATTATTCGTACTATCATCATCGTCATCATCATCACCATCATGATCATCATCACCATCATTATCATTATCATCATCATCATCATCATCATCATCACCATCATTATCATTATCATCATTATTCGTTCTGTCATCATCATTGTCATCATCACCATCATCATCATCATCATCATAATCATCATCATCATCATCATCATCATCACCGTCATCATATTATTTTCATCATTATTATCGTCCATGGTCATCATGACTGTTGATAGTCACTATATGCACTATACTGAAACAGAAGTGAACAATAGGCATCCTTATTCAACCAATTATTCAATTATTTTCATTTTCATTATAATCAACATTGCCCTACTTTCTCCTTTTATTACATTCTTTAATATTTTGTTTCATTTTCTTTTCTCGTCATCTTCTTGGCATTAAGAAAATTTGAGTTGAGTTTGATATTTCTTTTCTGAGTTGTTTGACATTTCCTCTGTATTCAAAATTATAATCATATATAATTCCATTCGTCATTTTTAACATTCTCTTTCTCAGATTTAAAAAAAAATGAATCCTAAATATATTTCATTTTCCTCATATCAAAGGCAAGTTTGGTAGACAAAAAAAAAAAGATAAATAAAACGAAAAAATGAAAACCCAAAAAGCGAGGTAAAAAGGAAACATAGACATCGTATTTTTCCACATATATTTGTACAATGCGAATAAATAAATAAATATTTGTACACGATATTCACAGGGCGAGAAAGGGAGCCAGATTTCACCCGCTGTCTTCCCCCCTGGGCTATGACGCCTTGAGGGCAGTGCCGGAGTGTTTGAAGTCTTCACTTTCCCCACTTCCTCCTCCTCCTCCTCCTCCTCCTGGTGCTGTTCCTCTCCTCCTCCTCCTCCTCCTCCTCCACTAACCCCCTTTCCTCCTCCTCCTGCTCCACTTCCTATCCCTCCTATCCCTCCTCCCTTCTCGAGGAACCCGACGTGTAAACCCTTCATTCCTGAGTTCTGTCTCTGCGAGATCCACGAGATGATGTTGTCCATGATGCTGTCGATGGACCTGCCGCTCCAGCCGAGTTCCTCCCAGCTCGTCCTCGAGGGGAAGCCGTACTCGAGGAACTTTCTCATGTTGACCTTCAGACGCTGCAGTTCGTCCACCCTCACGTCTGCGCAGGGGCCTTTGCCAGCCATGTCCAGGATGGTGATCAGAACCTGGAGGAGGAAGAAGAGGTTGTCAGTCAGAGAGGATGAATCGAAAGAAAATTTTTTTTTTTTTTTTTTTTTTTTTTTTTTTTTGGTCTCCTGATAATATAGGCTTCTAGATCTTTATTTTTTAATGGTGTTTAGTTACTTATGGCTTTTATTAGAGATCTGCTATTGTGTTAAAGGATTTGTTATGCTAGCATCAATGGGGATTTCTGTTTTCGTATAGTGTGTGTGCGCGCCACCTGTTCAGTCGTAAATTGTGGTGGAACCTCCTTTCTCTCATTCTTCCCCCTCTCTCTTTCCCTATCTCGCTCTCGATCTCTATCTCGATTTCTTTTTTCTTATTCATCTTAATCTTTCTCGTTCTCTCTCTCAATCTTCCCTCTCTCTCTTCTTTCTCTCTCTCTTCTCTCCTCTTTCTCTCTCTCTATCTATCTATCTCTCTCTCTATCCCTCTCTCTCTCTCTCTCTCTCTCTCTCTCTCTCTCTCTCTCTCTCTCTCTCTCTCTCTCTCTCTCTCTCTCTCTCTCTCTCTCTCTCTCTCTTCTCTCTCTCTCTCTCTCTATATATATATATATATATATATATATATATATATATATATATATATATATATATATATATATATATCCCCTTTGTGTTCTCATTCGTGATCATATCCACACCACGCCCACCCATCCGCACTCATCCGCCCACACACCCACCCACTCACCTGCTCGGCCGTCTTCTCGGGTATCCAAGCTGCTTCATGGGCGCCTCGCCGACGAGCACCACCAGCGCCGTCTCGACCTTCCTCTTGAAGGAGGCGGCCTCGTGCTCGCCGGGCAGGAGCGACAGCAGCGACCTCTGGATGTTCTCCCTCATGCTCTCGAGGGGCGAGGGCGCGCCCCCGCCCCCCCCGCCGCCGCCGCCGCTCGAGTCGGGGAAGATGCACGAGAGGTTCGGCTTCGAGCACGAGAGGAACTTGTCCTTGGGCAGGTCGGACTCCACGATGACGTCGGGCTCGGGCTCCTCGAGCTTGGAGCGCGGCGACGGGATGGGCAGCTGCAGCCTCGAGGGCATCGCGGGGGCGTGGGGCGCGGGCGCGGACAGCGGGGGCGACAGGCTCGAGGGCAGCGCGGGCGAGGTCTTGGAGGTGGTGGAGAGGGCGGGCGCGTACGAGACCAGCGTGGAGGGCGCGGACGTGGGCGTCGAGGGAATGTGGGCGCGGTAGGGGTGGCAGGCGGAGGAGGAGGGGGGCGGCGCGGGCATGGAGGAAGGGTGGTGGTGGGCGAGCGCTTCCGGCGGGCGGGAGGAAGGGGCGGGCGCGGGAGCCTCCTCGGGGCTGCGGATGGGGATGAGGGGCGGCGGCGCCACCTTCCGGGACTTGTTCTTCTTGGGGTCGGCGTGCGCGACGTCGGCCGACTTCCTCCGCAGGATGTTGGAGCGAGAGGACGCCGGCGCGGGCAGCGGCGCCGTCAGGAGGTGGCTGGGGAGCGGCGGCGCCGGCGTCAGCAGGTGGGCCGCCTGGCCGCCGTAGCCGACGAGGCATGACTCAGCACCGCCAGGGTGCGCGCCGGCGAGGCGCTGCGACAGGTTCAGCGGCGACGCGTCCGCCCCGCCGCCGCCGGGGGGGCCGGGGGGGCGGGACAGGTCCAGGGGGTTGGCGTCGGCGTCGGCGGGCGACGGCGGCCGCGGCGACGAGCGGTAGAGGGGCGAGAGGCGCTCCGCCGCAGAGGCCTCCCCGCCGTGCGCCTCGGCCTCGGGGGGCACAGGCGGCGAAGGGCGCCGCGCCGAGGCCGACGGGCGTGGCGTGCCCCGCGGCCGAGGTCTGGTGGCCGAGGGACAGCTGGTGGATGTTGAGGTGGGGGCGAGTTCTGGCCGCTGGGCTCGGGCGGGAAGGGGCCGTCGGGGGGCACCGCCACCGTGGGGGCACCAGGCGGGCCGCGAGGGGGGCCCCAGGGAGGAGGGGGCGGCGGCGCCATGGTCGAGGTGGGCGGCGGCGCCATGGGCAGGGGCGGGGGCGCCAGCGAGGAGATGGGGGGAGACGCGGCAGCCAGGGGCGGCGGCGGCGCCATCGACGACGCAGGCTGCGCCGCGAGAGGCGAGGTTTGGCGGCGGACGCTTGAGCAACGGAGGGGTTGGGGCGCTGTGTGGAGAGGGCCGCCCGCAGCACGCTGAGGGGCGTGCGGCCCCCGCCCGGGTACTGCTGCTTCTTGGGCGGCATCCGGATGTGCGGCGTGGGCGCGGGCATGGCGCTGGGCAGCGAGGTGGCCAGCGTCTCCCTGACGCCGTCGCGGTGCGTGGTGGTGGAGATGAGGCCGGCGGAGGGCTTGGCGTCCGGCGGCGGTGCCTCCGGCGCCTCCGCCTTCAGGCTCGTCTCCGGCGGCGGGCGCTCGAAGGCCTGGTCGGGCGACGTGGCGTAGCCCGTGCTGCCGCCCGACTCGCGCCCCGAGTCCTCCGAGTCGCTGAGCGTGATGCAGCCCCTGGCCTCGCCCGGCGCGTCCTCCGCCTCCGACGGCTGCGGGAGGGGCGTCTCGGCGGGCGGCGAGGGCGCCAGGGGCGTCAGGAGGGTGAGCTGCGGCTCGCACTCGGGCGGCTGGTAGCCGTGCGGCGGCTGGAACTGCTCCAGGTCCTGCAGGTTGATGGTGGAGGGCGCGGGCGGCGAGGGGCCGTCGGCGTCGGCCTCGTCCTCGCGCGCGTGCTCGTGCGGGTGGTGGTGCGCCGTGTGCGCCACCAGGTCCTGCTCGCACGAGAACACCTGTCCGCAGGGGATGCAGCGCAGGCCGCCGTCCACCCTGTGCACGCGCACGTGGCGGCTGAGGTTGCCCGAGTGCTCGAAGGCGCGGCCGCACAGGTGGCAGGCGTAGGGGCGCTCGCGGGTGTGGATCCTGCGGTGCACCACCAGGTTGGCGTAGGCGGCGAAGCCCTTGTGGCAGTACTCGCACTGGAAGGGCTTCTCGCCGGTGTGCGTCCGCACGTGGATCTTGAGCACCTTGGAGCAGGTGAAGCCCTTGCTGCAGTGCGGGCACACGTAGGGCTTCTCCCCCGTGTGGCGCCGGATGTGGATCACGAGCTGGCCGTGCTGCGAGAACTTCTTGTCGCAGTGCGGACACTGGTACGGGCGCTCGCGGGTGTGCACGCGCATGTGTGTGTTGCAGTTTCCTTTGGAGGCGAAACTCTTGCCGCAAAACGGACAGGAGAAAGGCCTTTCGCCCGTGTGCGTCTTGTAATGGGCCTCCAATCTCGAGCGGCGGTCGAAGTCGCGGCCGCACACGTCGCAGCGGAGGTCGCTCGCCTCGGCCACCACCTGCGGGCGCAGAAGGAGACACGGTGATGCAATGATGTCTATATCGGCATTAGAGCACGAGACATTAGAGTGAAGACTGAGATTAAGCTAGAATTCTTTCCTATTATATACGTTAAAAGCGGAAAATAATCATAACAAACTTTTGGAACCTAATTAACATACTGTTAAACTAGGGAAGGAAGACACGATCAT